TTCTCTGTTCCCCTTCCCCCAATTCCCCAGCGCTGTGCCCATCCCCCAATTCCCCAATAAAAATCTTAAAAAAAAAAAAAAACGATGATGCTCAGACTTGGGTATCAGCAATGGTATAGAAGAGACTTGATTATAGCTGTTGATAGAAAGCTATTCTTTTTTGGTGTTGTTTCTTACTTTGTAGAATTTTCCCATTAGTTCTTAATAGGCTTTTAGTTCCTTCCCTTGGATTTTCAAGATAGATGATTACATTAACTATTTTAAATGTTTCTTTCCTTTTCCACTATTAATTTATACCTCATTTGTTTTATTGCTTTTTCTAGTGTCTCTAGAACAATGTTGAATCTTGTATTAGCAATTGCTTATTTCTAACTTTAACATAAAGCCACAGGACTACATAAAGGGTAGCTGACAAAAATCTAAGGCAAGTAGGGCCGGCCGAGTGGCGCGTTGATTAAGAGTTGGCTTGGGACTCCAGCTCTGAGCTGGTACCTCTATTATGCATTTATTTCTACATTGCCTTTGTTTACATGTCAGTCTTCTCCACTAGACTCCATACAGGTAAGCTATGGTTTGTTCTTTTCCTTCTAGGACCCAGCACAATCTTGGGACAGTAAGTACTCAGGAATCTGCTGGGGAAGGGAGAGCCTTGGCAAGGGCGCGGTCAGTCAGGGCTGCCTGGGAACAACCACCCCGCGACCCCCCACCTCCCCGCCGGCCCCGAGACTGTGGGCAGCCTTAGACCTTTCAGAGCTGACCACTGGTGATCTACTTTAGACCTAAACTAATCCCCACCTTCAGGGAACTTTGTGTCAGTCTGATGCTAGGGCCCCTCCCCTAGAGCTGAAGGCCAAACTTGATGTCCTCTGGAAACACTGCTAACAGATGAAAAAGGGCCACCATGGTGATTGAAAATCCCATCTATGGAAGCCTGGCTGGATGGCAGCTTTAGATGGCCTGGGCCTTCCGATGCCTGCACCACTGCAACTTAAGTGCCCTTAAGTGTCAGCAGCCAAGTATTAGCATGTGCGCAACAGGGCACACACGTCACATGCACACATGGGTGGGTGGCTGTGTTTGGAGGATGGAAAATATTCACAAGGATTATTAAATACATTTAACCATAATATTTTAAGTAGCTATTTATCATGACAACCACCCAAGGGCTAGCTTAGAACCTAAAATGCATCTTTCTGATGAATTAAAATAGAATGAGCATTGTCTATTTAGAAAAATCTTTTTCTGTGCCTCAGCCCTTACAATTCATGATTCAAACATCTGGGGAATACCAAGTCATAACTGGTGTTTGCTTCTATCTGGCCCTCAGAGTACCAGGGTTTAAGCGTGAGGATGAAGGAAAGCTCTGTAAACATACACAATACAGACAGCTCTTCACTGCTCAAGAGGACACCCAGGCCACCTATGGGTGTTCCAACCTTTGCAATACTAACTACAACCAGTTGTTTCTTTTCTCCCAAACACATTTTCATAAAAATCAATTTTTAAAATATAAAAACAAATGTTCTGCCTACTTGATTTTCTTTGTCCATTTTCCTTTAGACTGAATATGAGGTCTGACAATTTAAGTTCGTGAACTTATTGCAATGATGTTGCTAACCTTTTTTTGGTATCAGAGGGATTATTCATTATGAATTTGTACCAACGGGACAGTTAACCAAGTTTACTATTTGGAAGTGCTGGAAAGGCTGCATGAAAAAGTTCAACGACTTGAACTTTCTGCCAACAATTCATGGCTCTTGCATTATGATAATGCACTGGCTCACACGGCACTGTCTGTGAGGGAGTTTTTAACCAGTAAACAACTATATTGGAACACCCTCCCTACTCACCTGATCTGGCCCCCCAATGACTTCTTTTTTTTACTCAAAGATAAAGGAAATATTGAAAGGAAAACATTTTGATAACACTCAGGACATCAAGGGGTAATATGATGACAGTTCTGATGGCCATTCCAGAAAAACTGCTTTGAAGGGCGCTGGCATCAGTGCATAACTTCCCAAGGGTAGAACTTGAAAGGTGACCACAGTGATATTCAGCAACGAGGCATGTAGCACTTTTTCAGGATGAGTTCGCTAACTTAATTGTTCGACCTCGTGTAGGACTATATGTTAAGATCATGATAATCCAATTCACCAGGGCATGAAATCATACCACGTATCTATGAACTGTTTGTAAATATTGTGTCTTTATTATTTAAATCATGAATTTGGTATAATTATATGATAAAAGGCAATCACTATGCCAGGAACTATGGAATCATTTTTTATTTAGTCTATGTATTTGTAAGTATGTGACATTAAGCATTAATCCTTTCACTATCTATAAGTAGTCATTATTAACAGCAGTTATGTGAGAAAAAGACTTGGGTCTCAGTAGTCCGAAAGCTTACATCTTTGCTATGATGAGGCTGTCCAAAAATCTTATTTGGGTCCTGGTTGCATTAAAGGAAATGCATGGTCTAGGATACTGTGCTCTTGTCATACCCCGTGTAGAACTCTGAGCATTATGCTTTAAGAATGGGCCACGTCACATAAAACGAGGATAAGAAAACTCTAGGACTCCTTTCAAGGAGCTCAAGCAAATACACGTATATAAAATTAATAGGTGACTAAATTACACTCTAAATCCAACCAATACCAGTGAGGGTGGAAGCAAGCAGCAAATATTCCTTCCTTTTTAAAGAGGGAGAAGCTAAAGCAAGGGATACCAGACAAGTTAATTCTCAGTGCTGAAAAAAACTAAAGTGAAAACGTATCAGTATCCAGTTAATGTGTCCAAAGTGAAGACCAACCTAAGTAATTCAAGTTCCAGACAGGTCTTTTAGTTTCATATTTACAGATTAGCTAGTCAATCAAAATTTTATTTTCTCTTTTGGTTACCTAGTCCTAATCTTAGAAATCCTCACTACAGATCATTTTTAAAACAAGCTTTAATGCAATGTGTAATCAAATAACTTTCCTTGGTCCTTCAATTAATCAAAATGGGTAATACCGAAATAAAATATTTAAAGAACACTTGCATGCTCCCATATCTTCCTGCCATTCACACCTCATTCTATGTTCTAGATAGCTCTGGCAACGAAGACAACACAGAAAATATTATTTATAGTAAACTTTATTTTCATTATTTCATTTAACATAATTTCAAAGTAGGTCCATGCTCAAAGATGAGCCAAAGAACAGGAAAAAAAAAAGGATAGCCTAAATCTCATAAGGTATTTTTTTTCACACTGTTCTTCTAAGTAGGATGTGAGGTTTCAGGGCCCCCAATGTTGACACCGAACATTTTACCTCTTGAGACTTGATGTAAAGATACAAAAAGAAGAGATAACATCAACATATAAGAATCAAACTATACGAGGGTATTAAAATAATAAGCTCCCACTTCTCTGATCCAGAGGCTGATCTCTTAGCCATTATGCCATGCTACCTCTTATGCTCCCACTCTTAAGGGTTGTGATAATGACTGCTTTTTTTCTCGGCAAAGTTCAGTATTGTTTTTTTGTTTTGAAGTAAAATGTCAGAATATGTGAAAATGCTGCACTTATTTCTCCTTTTTTTTTATTAGTTTCAGGTGTACAAAACAACATAATGATTAGACATTTATACCACTCACAGCATTTCTCTTAATACACAAAAATGGTGCAAGTTTTCAAATTCTTCATGAGTCCAAGTTGGGACATGACTATGGCTGATGGGGTCTACTGAGCACACTAATTCCAAGTTTGGCGACCATCAGCAAACTGTTAAAAAAAACAAACACATAAACAAAAATGTCAGGTACAGGAACAGAACAGGCACTTGACTGTCTTTTGAAGGGACTAGGATGCTGCAGGTCCCAAACTGCATGGTGAGCAGGTACCAAGGCAGAACAGGCAGAGCCGGAGCTCCCATCCCTGGAGGCACCGAAGGAAAACCATGACATGGGGCAGTCCTGAGCTGAGACCTTAGAACAGTACACCACGTGAGCTGGGATTTCTCATCTGCCAATAATTCAGAGACAAGAACACTGCAGGTTGGAGAGACAAGGCCACCCCACGGTCCAAGAGCCTCTCAGGTGCCTGCTCTTGACCTCGGGCTATTATGACAATGACTATAGAACATTTTGCCTGACAGCATCATAATTATAATCAGAGGTGGGTGAGTAAACTTTTTTCAAAACAGATTTTTAAAAATTCCCACATCTTCAGGATCTCTTTATTATGCCTAAGGGCTGCATTTTAAAAAAACAATCTGGTTTGGATTTTATAATCAAAGTTAGTAAGAAAACAGGAAATCAATCAAAACTCCCTTCTAGCAATATTTTCAATAGTAAGGGGCACCCATACAACTAAGAAGCATGGAACCCAGGCTGAAAGTCACACAAGAGCTGCAGTCATGGCTTTGCCATTCAAGCTTCTTCCACTGTAGGGAGGAGCCAGACAGACCAGACAGCAAATGTGAGAGCAATTATTTCCATAGTGAGTAAATATACGTATTTCACTGACATTAAATCACCTACTATTTTTGTAGCCTTTCCAATTTGTGTATAAATTAAATCATTTTGGTTGATGCCCCAGCATCAGATATACTGAAACAAGTAAATTTGTAGATGTACAAAGTATTTAGAGCGTTCAAGTAAACTCCATACTGGTGAAGAACAGCAATAGAACAGAAAGTACCTGGCGCCCGCAATTAAGCCCGCAGGCATAAACTTTCCAGAGTGGTAGAATCTCATTCCCATAATGCCAGCCAAGGTTCCAGATGTAACTGATGGGAAACATAAAGAGAGTCAAAGATCATTCCATCTTATATTTGGGAGAACTAAAAGTGACCAGTCCCACCATCTTTCAAGGGCCACAGCCCATCTCATACCTCTCAATTTGGGGGTGCTTAATGGCCACCCACATCCTATGGCACTAAGTACAAATACTGGAATATATATGGGGCCCGGTGGTGAGAGCCCTTGTGGTGAGAGACCAGTATGGCACAGAAAGAAAGATATGGCTAGCTAGGAAAAGGGGCCAGACCATACAGAACCTTGAAGGCCGTATTAGGAATTTCGGTCTTCATCCTAAGGGCACTGAGAAGCCATTAAAGAACGGTAAGAATGGAAGCGAGAGGGGTGGCTGGGATGAGGATGGTGGCTATGGCGAGAACGAGACAATTCGGGATATGTGCTGGAAGCAGTGTTGGTGGGACTTGCTGATGAACTGGACGTAAAGAGGGAGGGAAGCGTACAATCAAGACCTGCGTGGAAGGAGGACACGAGAAGTCCCAACGTGTGTGAGGACATGAGTCAGGCCTTGAGGCATCCGAAAGATCTCAAGCAACAACTGTGTACATTACAGCTTGGAGAGAGACACATTTGCGAGTCATTTATTCATCAGTGGTAATTTAAGGCCTGGGCTTCAATGACACTGTCAAGCAAGAAAGTATAAAGAAGATAAAAAGAGCCAGACCTTGGGAACTTTAATATTTAATGCCCCCCCCCAAAAAAATGATGGGACAACAAAAGAGAAAGAGAAAATAAAAAGGGAAACCAGGAGTGAAAAACGGATTGCTGTTCTATGCTGAGAACAGCTAACCAGCCAAATGAAACGAGGACTAATAAATGTACACTGGATTTTGAAAAATACAGGTCACTGGCAGCCTCAGGGGGAGGGATTTCCATGGACAAAGGGGACACAAATGGAGACTGAAATGGGTTGAGAATGTCTGAGAGGTGAGGAAATGAAGACAGGGAATATAACAGATTGCTTCAGAGAAGTTTCTGAAGGGGAAGACGGGCAGCAACTGGAGAAGGAAGTGGAGTCACGAGAGGCCCTGTTTTTAACAAAATGGGTGAAATGAGCACATTTCAACATCAATAAGCGGGATCCATCCCAAAGGCGAAATACAAGTGAGAGATGGCGTCACTGACAGCGTAAAGGCCCGAGAAGGAGTGGGAGAGAAGACCCAAAACCAGGCTGGAGGGACTGCCTAGCCCTGGAGAGGACAGAAAAGGACAAGGGAAGGCCTGGAGGTCAATGACATGAATGGGGTCCCCATGTCATGGCTGCTGTTTTTTCAGTAGGCAATGAGGGTCATTTGCCAGCGTGGAGAAGCAGGAACACAAATGGGAAAAAGAGGTCTCAAAGGCATTTGGGAGCTTGTGTGAGGGAGCTGTTCGGCTGAGCTGAGAGCTGGGCACTGCCTCCTTCCCCAACACCCCCCAAACCAGCCATCGCTCATTTCCCTTCCCAGCCCGCGCTGCTGCATACAAACCATTCTGTTAATACGCCTGTTCTCCCCACCACACGTGTCAGGGCCAGAGCTGCATATGTTCTCATACTGCGGGTTGTGGAGACAGTGAGCAGCCCACCCTTCTAGCAGTGTCCGACGTATGGGCGGGGCTCAGTAAAAACACACCAAAAGCCGCCCTGATAGGAAGTAATCTTCCCTTCCCCACACTCCTCACTGTCTGTGCAGCTTGCAAGGCACTTCAGCAGCCCCAGAGTCACTTTTTATGTCCCCAGTTAAGGTACAGGCTCCTTGAAGGCAAGGCCTGTCTTATACGGTTACCTTATGGCTAACGTGCTAATGATTTCAAAATGGGAAAAAATACTGATGAAAACTTAACCCAAACACATGATCTGTTAGTGATGCTCAAGCAGACAATCTTCAGTGGACAATCTCAATGGTTAAGAGACATATACTTGCCTCACACAAGTTTAATACTAGCTTCAGTAGATAAATCTAAATTCACGAGGTATGAAAATCTGTCCATATTCTGTACATAAAAGATAAGCAGAAAACAGCACAACCACCTCCTCCTCCACATTAAAACTTCCCCAGGACTTGGCAGAAGCAGTGAAACTGTCTTAATGTGAAGAACCTGCCACATCCCAACAAACCAGGGCCTCTGGTAGAGTATTCTGGATACAAAGCTGCACTGGAGAGACAGTGAAGCTGTCATACCTAGGAAGACCCAAATGTTCCTCGGATCCTGAGACAGCTGATAGGCACCCAGACCTGCTAAACCACCGAAGAGGAGCCCAGCAGCCAGGGACGGGACACTACCTGGAGGAAAGCAAACACACGCCCACATTTAATGCTTGACATTCATTTCATTAACAGAATCCACCAGATGTCCCTTCCCTAGAGAGGAAAACAGCAAAGAGAACTCTCAACACAGTTCACAACCAAGAAGTTCTCAAGCACAAAAATGTTTTGGGGAGTTTGCTAAATAGCTCTGGTAAAATTACCAGTGAACACCATTCCTCTTTCCTGAGTAGGGAGAGTACTTCCACCTATGATGAAGGGTTCCTAAGCCAGCCTTATCAACCTGTCAAGGACTAGAACTATCCATGGGCAGGACCTTGGGCAAATCCCAAAAGGACAGGGAAATAGGGTAACTTAAAAAAAGATTTGGAGGGCTGGCCGAGTGGCACGATGGTTAAGAACTGGCTTGGGACGCGGTTCGGATCCCACATATGAGGGCCAGTGACACTGCCCTCCACAGCTAAGATGCTGAACAGCAGCTCAACCTGGAGCTGGGCTGCCATGAGTC